TAACACCCTGTATAATGGTATATAGTTTCACCAATCTTTGCGTATTTAATAAATCTACTTTCCTTTTGTATCGCAACGCTCGAATATCTGTACCGAAAGACACCAGGTAATTCTAAGAATTATACAGTAGCATCGAATTCTTTCGTAATTGTCTTTCAGAATTACGATTCAATGGCCGACTTGTTAAAGCATGCACGATAATAGAAGTCAATGTGTGCAAAAAATATCGCTTTCTCTTTACAAGTAAATATTACTTTTAGGTAAATACAAAAGTGAAATATCGTGCACTTTGTTGTAATGTTTCATCTCGAAGAGTAGACCTCACTAAAAGAAAAACTTTAGGAATTTTTTCACATCGGCAAACACAAATTGGAAAGCAATCGCAAAAGTTCAGTAACAGCTAAGTAGGAGAGACCAACCAAGCGCGACACAATAGTAGCTGGTGTTAAAATCAGCCGCGTAGCCGTTAATTGCTGAAATTATGAAATTACCGGAATACGTTACACAAATTGCAATATTGGCTGCGATAAGCGTGCAATACGCGTGTACAACCAGAAAATTAAATCGATGCATAAATAAGTTGTATCTTATACGTTATGTAATTATGCGAGGCCTCTCCTCGCTCCTCTTGTATGTGTCTGCGTGGGTGGTAATTATTGCGAACGATAGGGTTATTATATTACAGACGAGCGGTAAATCCAGCACCGTGCTTCTGATTGCAGTATCGCAGTACTACATACGTTGGCCATGTCCTTAGCTACGATGATCTCCTATGTGACGTTGGGGTATCTCATTACTAATATGCGTCCAGATATCGTAGACAAGAAGAATCGTATACAAACGACATCAACGGAAAAACTGTTGGTTGAGTACGATTACGTGATAATTGGCGGTGGATCAGCAGGAGCTGTATTGGCCAGTCGATTGTCGGAGGACGAAAGTTGCACCGTGCTTCTGCTCGAAGCCGGCGTTGACGAAGTGCCTTCGTCCGACGTACCTTGGTACTTTTCGTCTCTGCAACGTACGTATCTGGATTGGGATTTCAAAACGGAGCCGTCGTCCAATTATTGCTTGGCAATGCATAATCATCAATGCAGCTGGCCACGTGGCAAGGTATTTTATGGGTAAAGATGTATATGTATGTCTAGAAAACGATGCGTCTGGGAAGCAATTTATTTTTTGCGGGAGAAGGGGAGGGAAGGGATATTCGGAATATCGTGACTGACAATGAGACACAATCGATAGGTACAATTGATGGTAGAAAAAAAGGATAGTATGATTATAACAAAGGGGATGAAGAAGGACGCGAAGTAAAAGTGACTTTTAAAATACATTAATTCGTTGCGTTCAAGTTGGGGCGATCTCGATTTTGTAATATATGTATTATTGTAATTTGTCTTTCCCGTCATGAAATCAGAGATATCAGGGAAATGATCCATTCTCAAGGTGTTAGGTGGTAGCAGCGTGTTAAACGCGATGCTTTACATTCGCGGTAACAAAAGAGACTACGATTCTTGGGCGGCTCTCGGTAACGCGGGCTGGGATTACGAGAGCGTTCTGCCGTATTTCAAAAAGTCAGAAGATGTCAGAGTCGAGGAACTCTCCAGCTCGTCTTACCATGAGAAAAATGGATACTTGACGGTGGAATATTTCAAGTACAATCCACCGATGGCCGAATATATCGTTAAATCCGGCGAGGAGTTGGGATACAAAGTGCGCGATGTTAATGGCGCAAATCAAACGGGTTTTACATATTCCTTCGGTACTTTGAGGGATGGATTGAGATGCAGTACTGCTAAAGCTTACCTACGACCTGCCTCAAAGAGGAAGAATCTGGACGTCAGCTTGGAGTCATTCGTGGAGAGGATATTGGTGAAAGAAGGTTTAGAAAATCTCATTATCTCCGATGTCCGGTTAATCCGTATTGCACAGCCTATCATCGTAGTCCTTGATATTACATGGAAATATAGATATTAATTTCCATCAGGCATTCGAGTCATTAGGCGACTATTGTGGAATTGTGATAGAAAGTACGTAAGAGTTTGACAACGACTTGTTTGCAGATGACACATCGAAGATGGCACATGGGGTGGTGTTTCGCAAGGGTAAGAGACGTTTCACAGTTGGTGCGAAACGCGAAGTGATTCTCTCCGCGGGTACGATACAGTCGCCGCAACTTTTGATGCTGTCGGGAATCGGGCCGAGGCACCATCTCGAGAAGATGAAGATATCTGTGGTGCATCATGCACCCGGTGTAGGACAAAATCTTCAAGATCACGTGGGAATGGGCGGGATGATCTATATCGTTGAGCCTTCGCACAGCACGTCCGAGCGAAACAAATTTACAATAAGACAATCTCGAGTTAGAAATTTGAGTAATATCCGAGAAATGATATTGAACAGTTCTGGCCCGCTCTATACGTCTGTGTACAGTGCCGGAATGGCGTTTGTCAACACTAAGTAAGCCCTACACATATTACGTATATTCTCTCTCTCACACAGATTTGTTTGGCTTATCAATTCTCTTGCGTAACGAAATTACACTAAATTCATAACAAAATAGCATTTCTTTAATGACATCAATCAATTTATTCAACAAAACGATCCTTATGGTGCAGATACGCAGACGGGGTCGATTATCCGGATGTACAGCTGATTTTCTCAGCTTTCTCAGATTACGGAAGTATCACAGCAAATATATATGGGATTGAGTCGAGCACCGCCACTGGCTTGTATGGAAATATTACAGACGACGTTGAAGCTTTCGGAATTATGCCGATTCTTTTAAGGCCACGCAGCAAAGGCTTCGTCGCGCTCAAATCGGCCGATCCGGATGATGCTCCCATCATTGTTCCAAATTATTTCAAGGATCCTCGTGATCTCCAAGTTTTAGTACGTTATTATTGTTTTCGACGTGTGTTTCTCGCGAAACGGCACAATAGCTACTTTCAACTAATTAACTATAGGCAATCACGACTAATTGACACTAGACAATCACGATAAGCCAGCTTCCCGTTCGAGAATTAAAATAAATATAAATATATAAAAAAAGAGAATAATAATAAGAAAGCTCCGTCGAACGTAAGAATGTATTGTAGTGACTTGAAAAATTATGTTGTCATAGGTGGAAGGCGTGAAATTTATAGATAAGATGAGTCAGACTAGTCTTATGCGCAAGTTGAATGCACGGCTAAACCCGAATCCAATACCAGGATGCTCGCAGTATGTCGGCTCGTTGGACAAGTATTGGACTTGCTACGTACGTCATTTCACAGCGACGATATATCATCCCACTGGCACTTGCAAGATGGGCCCAGCCAACGACCGCTACGCCGTTGTTGACTCCAGACTAAGAGTTCACGGAATCGCGGGGTTGCGAGTGATCGACGCGTCGATCATGCCGAGCATAGTCTCGGGAAATACTAATGCACCGACGATTATGATAGCGGAAAGGGGCGCCGATATGATAAAGGAAGATTGGTCAGGTTTCGGCAAACGCTAGAGATCGCATTTGACGAACAGATCGATATAAGGTGGACGCTAACTTTCGCCTTATTATACATATAGTATAGTATTGTATATGGTATATTTGCAATCTTCTCGAGCGAAGTAAAAACAAAACCAAAAAACTGCTTCAACTTTAATTGCGTTTCTCAATTGTGCCGACGGTAACGACGCTTATTATACGACGATGATTGGCACTTGTCTAGAAACATTTAGAAAGTGTTTGCGCAACGTTTTATACGAAGTGCTTTCGTTGCACGTGCGATAGTATTGCAGAGCGCTAATTGTTAGGTCACTAATTTGTTAAGCGAGAAAAAGAGTGTAAGAAGATTTTTCTTTGTATTCTCTCTTTTTTCACACGAGCTTTTAGTTATTCAGCAGGCTGTTTGCGCACGTGAATGTGCGTGCGTGCGCGTACGTAATTCTAAACTATATTTATATCGAGGTTTAGGTGATAAACGACGAATTGCATGTACGTAATGAGATACAAAGGTGTTTACTGGCATGTGATAAGTTATCAATTTGAAAAATGTGATTCTCGTGCAGTCCAAAATTGTTGAAAGTACACTTAATCAATTTGCATCGTAACGATGTAACATACGAGTATACGATACGCGTCACATATGCATACATCGATTCACGGCTCCGAGCAATAATTTTTATGACATTACGATAAGGCCAGAATTCTTTAAATTCGTCTGTCGTCGAAAATTAGCACTCGTGGTGCAGGATATGATCTATTGTGAATCCTGTTGCAATGTATTGTATCGTATCTATTGCGTACGAGTATATTGATAGCGCACATAACTACTTGAAAATCCTGCACCACATGCCCCGGTAGGCGATCGAAAAATATGTATATATCGATTTTCTGTATATTTACATTTTCATTTATCCTTGAAATTCCACGAAAGATTGCAATTAAAATCGTGACTGCCTTATCAGTTTACATTATCTCAAGTCTTGCCGATTTGAAAAATCGCTGACCTAATAGTAATGTAATGACGTATAATATTACGTGTACATGTAGATATGTACATATAAAACGTATAAATCAAAAATAATGTATTGCAATGATAAATGCATCATGATGAATTGCGTTGAAACGCGCACATTTATTAAAAACACTTGGCGTTGCTAAACCAAATATTTAGTAATTACGCTTTTCTTCCTTCCTTCCAAGTATTAAACTATCTCTCTCTTTCTTTTGTGCATGCGCGCACGTGTGGGTTATGAAATAGGAATTAGAATTAATTGTAAATTTAGATTGTATATTTCAGCGGTTTAGCAGCGCCAAGCTTTTTTAATAAAGAATAATGTCGTGAATCAAGATCGATATGTATTCAACAATTAAATTAGAAAAGGCCATCTTTTAATAAAATGTTTATTTGTATTTAAATTGTTCACATTATATTTTTATTAAATAAGTATTAAAAATTTGTCTCATTAATGTTATTGTCTCCTTTATTTCTTTCAGTAAAATCTTATGCTCGATAGTTTGGATATAACATATTAAAATAATTAAGTATCTAGTTTGTGTAAATATTCATTTTAGTTGGCGCAATTTAATGATATCATTACTTTTGTAGAGAAGATAAAAATGTTTTTTTTCTTCTAATAAAATATATTCAAATAATTAAATTATATAATTCTCGATTGGGTGGCGCTGATACTTGGCGTCTTTTTTTATCAAACTAACATCACGTGCAATAATGAAATATAACAATAATGAATATTAACAAATCGAGACATAAATAAATTAGTATTTTCACTTGTTATTTATTAAACTATCTAAGATACTAATTATTTTACTAGTAAGAATATTCTTAAAAGTCGCCAGAAGTAATTAATAACATCAGTGATTTTTATTGACCGTATCTGGCAATTTTTGTAATAGAGAAAATTTATTGCGAAAAATATTACCTCAGCCACCCAGATAGCACACTGAATTCACAAAGTATTCTTTAAGTTTTCTTTTTTCTGAATTGTAATTCTTTAGGAATTCATAGAAGAATACAATAAGAGTGACAGAGGAAGTTACATGCACCATAAATCGTTTTCCTGACAACTTCTTAAAGTATTCATCTCGAATTCAATAAATGTAAACTTTATGAATTCAAGGGGAATAGTGTTAGAACAAAGAGGATTACAAAATATTTACCCAATGTATGTACACATCTAATATGCAGTAACATTACACCATTATTATAATTTCTTACTCAACAGTGAGATACTCTCAACCGAAGCTCGTTGACAATCGAATGATTCTTCCGTTTCGGTTCTCGTCGTTCGAATCTTTCTTTTACACAATAGAACTATTGCACAAAATTAATTGCACATAACGTTACGCACACAAAATATTGCGCGTGGTAACACGCTGCACAAGAACGTCCGGATGGCGGTTAGCGGATACTCGCGCATGACAAATAATTCCTCATAAATTCTTAAAGTATTCACAGTACTGAATCGCGAAGTATTCATTATAATGAACTTCAGAAGAATACTTCAAGACGAACTGATTGAGACTAATTCTTCAAGAATTCTTCAGATATTCATTTTTCTAATTCTGTATGTTTTTTTAAAATGAATTCTGTATGGACTTATGTTCATCTTTGTGCTATCTGGGCAGGGTTTGAACCTGGACCTCCCTTCTCTCTAGGCGGGCGTCTCAACCAATTCTACCACCGAGGCATATGATAATATTAGTCGCAATAACAGTATAAAGATGTTGTTTACGCGTCTATTTTACCTAATTATTTTATTTCTTGATTAGAATGAAACAAAACTACTTAACATATTTATCAAAAGAATCGGTAAAATTTTTGACACGCTTGCCCTTCGTTGTTACTAAGAAAGATTGTTTGGTAGTTTCTCTTGATCTCCTTACAACTCTATTGTCGCTATTTATTTTCTATGGAGTTATGTTAAGAATATGTGGCGATCGTGACATAGAGCGTTGTAAGCTAGTCTAATAAACCAAAAATCCAAGTTCAAAGCCGACTGAGAAATTGGTTTTTGTTCGATTGCCACCTGTTGGAAGAAAGCAGGGTTGTAAACCGGAGCAAAAATACGTTCTTTGGAGCGGTTTTGAACCGGTTCGAATTTAAAAACCGCTCCGTAAACCGGATGAATTTACGGAGTAAATCATTTGGAACTTGGGATGTAAACCGAACCGAACCATTGAAGTTATATGCTACGAGAGAACGGAGCGAATAAGATTGTAAACCGGAGCATAAATACGTTCTTTGGAGCGGTTTTGAACCGGTTCGAGTTTAAAAACCGCTCCGAAAACCGAATGAATGAAGTAAATTATTTAGAACTTGGAATGCAAATCGAATCGAACTGGTGAAATTTGCACATTTACCACCTCTCCAGCTATGTAGCAAAGACTCAAACGTGGTAAATCTTTTTAAATAAATTAAATCCTTTTTAGATAAAGAAACCGCTCCAAAACCGGTTTTTCATGCTCCGATTCGAAACCGGAGCGTTTTAAATCATAATAAAAAACGGTTCGCTCCGGATCGGAACGATTTTATAATTGAAATTTTGATCCGTTCTCTCGGAGCGGATACACTTCAATGGTTCGGTTCGGTTTACAACTCTGGAAGAAAGTGGTAACCTGCCGAGAGTATCTTACTCCTTCTGTACAGATATATAGGAGAGTTTAACGCTCAAGAATCGAACAAAGTGCGGTTGGCCAATCACCTGTACACCTTAAAAATTCTGCGATTACTGAAATCTCTATGAGACCCTATGTTCGTCATAGGAATCCTTATTTCTATATGCCTTATACTCCTATTAGGAGTGATAGGAATTAATAATATGTTAAGCATATAGATAAGAATATATGATATTTCTCAACATCATAAAGTTTTTCAAAGACAAAAAATTTCATTAACAAGAAACGTGTCTGTAAAGTTTGGGATAGATTCGCTGTGTACTTATTAAGTTGAAAAATGAAATCTGAACTCATTTGTAACTTTTGAAAAATAAGTAAACGGATGTTCATCGAAACATTTTAGCACACTTTTATGATTCACTATTAGATTTGTCATAAAACAGGTATAAACAATGTTTTAACCTATGTAAATATATTATACTGCAATGTTACTACAATTAAGTTATGTAATAATATTTCTACAAGCGGATATTTTTACCGTTGCTATAATCTCGCAGCAACATTTCATAACGTTTATTTTATGTAATGTCGTAATCTTGTGATAAAATGATACCACAATATTCCTACAATCTTGCTGATTATGTATGAAATTGACACATAAAGATTAACGTATCATTACATGAGACTCCAATAAAGAACAAGTGTAATACATAATTTAAATATGTTAAATGCATTTATTTTCTAGGAAAGGCAAAGATGTGTTAATTTATCACTTCGTTTCATCAGTCGACAGACCTTGGTACATGGAATGAGCCCTGCAAGGTATTTCTCGACACAAATAAGATTCAGGCTCTGAGCCCCTTATTTTATGTTGGCCGCTGATTATTCACTTTTATTGACCTTATTTTATCTTTTGATTTTATCATACGAGCCATTTCCATTTAACAAATAAGATATATACCCCATGCATAGCGCCATATCTTTCCCCTGTATGACAAACGTGCAACGTAACATACCATATAGAATCTGCGTTTGGCTCTATCATTTTCTTTCGGCTTTACTTATGGATACCAATACCTTTAATTTGTACAAAAATTGCAAAAATTGTACTCTTTTCAAATACTACTGAAGGCCATTATTTATTGGAAAAATGCACTATGATAAAATTCTAAACTGTGTATTTCAAATAATTTAAACTATTTAAAAAAACAATTAAAAACAATTTAAGTGAGCACTTATAAGAGTTTGTACTGTAGCAAGGATATTATTTACGTAACGTGCCGTTCCATTATTGAAAAGAAAAATGTATGCTTAATATCCGTACTTTGGAAGAAAATTATATTCTTATTAAACATAATGCGTTCGACTTTGCTACTAAAACTTTTGTTAAACAAAAATATAACTCAAATGTTCTGGTTAGACCTTCAATTTTTTGATAGCAAGTTATTATTGTATTTAGGCGTAAGAGGAAACGCATTCGAACATTGGAACATTGGAAAAGTTTAGACGTCACGTGTCACAACGAAACTTTCCTTTTGTGTTTGGGCCTCTATCACTTGTGACGATAATCTTTCTTGAAGGTAGATGGTGTTTTATAACTCAAAACTAAATTTCTTGTCGCCAGTAATATAAAACAAATGGTATAGTCTTTAATATCTCAATAATATTGATATTACCCAATATTCTTCGATAGCTTTGCGTTAACGATGACGTTCAATATACCATTGCACATTGGTCACAGCACATGGGCCGCGCAAAAATGTGAATAAACATTCCACATATTTTCGCAGCCACATGTGCGCGCGTATTTATTCCCAAATTATAATATAAGTATAATGACGCGCGTGATCCATGTGTACATGTGATACGTGTTGTTGAGGTGTCTCAAGGTGCTTCTTCGTCATATATTCGAAATGTAAGTCGCGACAGGGTTCATTTTTCCCCTATAAATTAGTACAAATTCTTCGTTCGCGGTATCTACGCGGGACGGTAACAAGCTGACGCTAGTGGAGCAGGAGCTACAGTCTCGTTCGAGGTAAAAAAGATAAGATTTTTAATAAAGGGAAAAACAGTACGTTTAGTACATGAATGTAAAGGCATCAAGTCGCGTTTTATCATAACTACTCGTATCATAGCGCACGAATTGCAGGCAGCTCGCAAATGTGTTAAAATTAAGTTTTATTATCAAGCTGGACTTGAGTCGGTGAATTAAAATGTTGTGTATTATTATGACATTAAGAAAACAAAATAAAATGTTGACACAATTTGTGAAGTGAGAAAGGTTTTAACGTCGCGTTCGTTTAAATCATGACTGTTTGCAAGTCTTTATTTACGCGTACCAAACAAGCAATTTCTTTATCCTATCCAATGTTATTTCGCTGATATCTTTTCAATTGAGCGAATTTAATTGAATACTTGACCAAATCACACGAATACAACAATCGCGGTTTCGTGGTTCGAACTTTTCTCTGATGATGATTCTTAACTCTACCGTTTAATTTACAATCTCTCTCTCTCTCTCTCTCTCTCTCTCTCTCTCTCTCTCTCTCTCTCTCTCTCTCTCTCTCTCTCTCCCCCTCTCAAATTATTTTTATTTCTTCTTGAGGAAAAACATTTCTAGAAGCGACAATGGCTTTTATGAAGGTTGATCACTCGATCGTAAATCCTCAAAGACTAAATCCTAGATGCATTAATCCACGCAGTGTGAATCCTGCTTGGAACCAAGATAAAGACTCAGACGATGACGTCACGCCACGTGTGTCTTCTTTGTCAACGAAT